GTTCATCTTTGCATCATCTTGCAGATGTTGAATTATTTTTTCCCGCATCCTAGTTGTTTTTAAGAGATCTTTTCACGGGCCAGGGAGATAGCTCAGTAGAATAAGCACTTGCCTGGCAAGCACAAGGGCCTGAGTTCAATCCCCAGTTCCGCAAAAAAGAGAGCGATCTTTTCTTACCTTTTCACTAACTGCAATGGTGTCTTTAAGGTCTGAAAGTCTATTTTAACTTTCTTTCAAATGGTTTTGCCAGCTTGTGACTGAGGTTTTAATTTCCTGTATAGCACTTTGAATCTGCTTCATGCATTCTCTTTCCTCTATTGCTCATTCAAGGATTCCATCATTTTTCTGCTCTCTATTTTTTTAATCAGTGTCTTCTTTAGAAGCACTTAGTACCTTTTTCATTATAGTTATTATTTCTTTACCTCAGAAATTATTTCTGATCTGATTTCCTTTATACCTTTCTGCAGTTGTTTCTTTACTTCTGATGCTATTATTTCAGAGATTTCATTTATGTGATTTCCAATTTCTTCCATGCCATTGTCTCCTGCATTTGTTCTGGGTGGGCTCAGGGCCTGAGAATATATTGTGCTCCTTGTCTTTGTCATTTTGTATAGCACTGTCTTCTGACTTTTGGTGTAGAGCTTAGATAGAGTTATTACCTTAGCACCAGGTCTGGATCTACCAAGTTCAAACTTGTCCAGGTGGGTGTAGCTTGGGTCTGGCTGCTGTGCTCCACTTCTTCCTGCTGCAGCCCTTGGAGGTGAACCCTCTGTGCCACTCTGGCAAGATGTTCTGCTCCTGGATCAACTGAGTGGGTCTTGCCTCTAGCCTTTCTGCAGGGAGTTCTGCTGCAGGGTTCCACAGTAGGCCTGTCTGATGGAGGAAGTTCTACTCACATGCAGGCCTGGGCTCTGGGTGGAATGAGGTTCCAGTGGGCCCCAGGCAGTCCCACCCACACGATGGGCCTGGGTTCTGGGTTGAATGAGGATCCGGCAGGCCCCAGACTGTCTCACTCACACGCCAGGTCTGGGTCAAATGACGATCCAGCGGCCCCAGGCAGTCTCACTCACAGGGTGGGCCTGGGCTCTGGGTCAAATAAGGATCTGGCAGGCCTGGGTGGTCTCACTCACACACTGGGCCTGGGTCAAATCTAAAGTGCTTTTTTATACTTCAGATATCCTAACATTTAAGTTTCAACTGCACAGTAACAAATAAAGTCTCAACTGCCCTTATTATCTGAATTTAAAAAGATCCTGACATTTGAGCTCTGGTATCATTATGAGGTATAACACAGGGTTGACAGCCCAAAGAGACATCTCTATTTGGGCAGTATTCAATAACAAAATTGAGTATTAGTAAAGTAACTACAGATGCACCTGATGGTTAATGCTGGAACGACTATTCACTAACCTAGTGTAAACCCACTAACAACACAATCTCCACGTCAGAAAAGCATACTAGTTTAGCATACAAGTCTTAAAAACAGAACACTACAAAAATGTATACTGGATTTAATGGCAAAAGAAATGAAATTCCAGTTGTGTAAGAAACAATTTAAATCCTACCTCTAACTAGGCAATAACCAGTACTAACAAGTGACTTGAAAGTAATTCAAGGGGGCTGGGGAGATGGCTCAGTAGAGTGAGCCCTTCCCTGGCAAGCATAAGGTCCTGAGTTCAATCCCCAGTTCCGCCAAAAAAAAAAAAAAAGTAATTAGAATCAAGAACTGAAAACAAGAGATCTCATCTATCCCAGCCACAGATGGATGAGCTTGGGGTACTGTGCAAGCATCTCTCTG